ACAACAACAACAACAACAGCAACAGCAACAGCAACAGCAACGACAACGACAACAACAACAGCAACGACAACCACAACCACAACCACAACCACAACCACAACCACAACCACAACAACAATGACAACAACAACAACAACAACAACAACAACAACAACAACAAAACTCCCGTCGTGATTTTGTCGCGACGAGAGGCGGCTCGATTTTCGGGTCATACCTCGACTCTCCGGCGGCCGTTCGGCACGACCCCGGCGCCCCGTGGACGCCCTCGGCGAGGCACGGCTGCTCGAAAGCACCCCAGGGCCGGGAAGCCGCCAAAAACATACGGAAACGCCAAGGAACCTCTAACCTCGAACCTCTAACCTCGAACCTCAAACGAAGACGCCCTACAACCCCGAACTAATCTCGAACCTGTAATCTCGAACCTCTGACCTCGAACCCAGGCTGGCCCAAGGGCCGCTGTGATTCTGGTCGCGCCGGGAAGAGTTGGAGCCCATGCTTCAATTGTTCGCGATAACGCTCGTGACCAGACGGTGCAGGCGCGAATCGTGACGTGACCGGCCCCCTCCCCCTCCACTGCTCACGCCCGTTATCACCAGGGACTTGTATATAAGTATCAATATTAAAGCTGTATACAAACCAAACCAACAAACAAAACAAATTACGCTACCGAGGAATCCCACATACTAATATTATGGCTGGAGTGATGATAGCTGAAGTGACGCATGTGAGAATGATGTTGGTGGCCGTTCCCTGCGCACCCCCTATGGTGTCGAGAATGTGCCACGCCTGCTACGCACAACAGCGCAAGCCTGCCAAGCTCACCTCGCCGCCCATCTGAACAATTTCTTTTTTCAGCGTCGAACACGGAGGCAGCAGCTCGCCCACGGCAATTTTGGGCGGCATGGCTGGCGCGCCTGCGCAACAAGCAAATGCGGCCTTCGATTGGGTACCCAGGCGCTCCGAGCCCGCTTCAGCCAAAGTGTTTACAGATCTGGATGCTGCGCAAGCCCCTGCTAGCGCGACTAATGGAATGCAACGGCGAAGCCTGCCCCAATGCGCACCCCGCGCGGCCTGGAGAAAATGCCACGCATGCCACGCCCCGCGACCCTGGAACGGATAGAGACCGCGCTCAGAGACCACCCCCTGTGCACCCCCTGTGGCGTAGAGCAAATGCCGCACCTCCCACGCCCCGCGACCCTGGGACGGATAGAGACCGCGTTCAGAGACCACCCCCTGCGCACCCCCTGTGGTGTGGAGAAAATGCCGCGCCTCCCACGCCCCGCGACCTTGGGACGGATAGAGACCGCGGTGAGGGACCACCCCTTGCGCACACCCTGCGGTCTGGAGAAAATGCCACGCCTGCCACGCCACGCGACCCTGGGACGGATAGAGACCGCGCTCAGAGACCACCCCTTGCGCACACCCTGTGGTCTGGAGAAAATGCCGCGCCTGCCACGCCCCGCGACCCTGGGACGGATAGAGACCGCGCTCAGAGACCACCCCATGCGCACTCTCTGTGGTGTGGAGAAAATGCCGCGCCTCCCACGCCCCGCGACCCTGGGACGGATAGAGACAGCGTTCAGAGACCACCCCTTGCGCACACCCTGTGGTCTGGAGAAAATGCCACGCCTGCCACGCCACGCGACCCTGGGACGGATAGAGACCGCGCTCAGAGACCACCCCTTGCGCACACCATGTGGTCTGGAGAAAATGCCACGCCTGCCACGCCACGCGACCCTGGGACGGATAGAGACCGCGCTCAGAGACCACCCCTTGCGCACACCCTGTGGTCTGGAGAAAATGCCACGCCTGCCACGCCACGCGACCCTGGGACGGATAGAGACCGCGCTCGGAGACCACCCCCTGCGCACCCCCTCTGGTGTGGAGAAAGTGCCACGCCTGCCGTGCCCTGTGCCATGGCCCGCATAGAGCCTCCTGCCATATTGGGTGTATGATGCAGCACACCTGCCACGCCTGCCACGCCGTGTGAATATTGCGCGTATGGCGCTTCTGTGTTATTTGGTGTGCGTGTCATGTGTATCATGCGTGTGCGGTTGTAGTTGGGCGTGTGTCTCTCGTGTGGATGCCCAGCATGTGGTGCGCGCGTCTTGACTGCATGATGCATGCAGTGAACACGCTAGGTGTGCACTATCATTGTATGATGTGTGTGTGTGCGAGTATGTGCATGCGTGCGGCTGTATGTATAACTACGCGTGTCTCATGTACGTGCCGTGCAGGTGTTGCATGTGGGTGAGGGGAAGAGGGAGGAGGGAGGAGGGGAGGAGGAGGAGGAGGAGGAGGAGGAGGAGGAGGAGAAGACGCGGGCGCGACGCGGCAGAGAAGAAAACCAGAACCCCACGAAACATGTGAGGAAAAGCAAAAATGAATGAATGAATACATTAGCCTGGCGAAGGACCCAACCATATGCAGTTGTGAATGCCGCAATTGTGCTGGGTGGTGGCGGACGCATGCGGGCGGTGCCACTGGGACCTTCGGTGGAGCTCCCTATGGGGCCACGAAACGCTGTACTGGGTGGGCGAGACGCGGTCAGCAAGGGCTGTGCTGCGTGGTGGCGGACGCATGCGAGCGGTGCCACTGGGACCTTCGGTGGAGCTCCCTATGGGGCCACGAAACGCTGTACTGGGTGGGTGAAACGCAGGCAGGGAGCAAGGGCTGCGCAGGGTGGTGGCGGACGCATGCGGGCGGTGCCGCTGGGACCTTTGGTGGAGCTCCCTATAGGGCTACGAAGCGCTGTTCTGGGTGGGTGAAGCGCAGGGAACAAGGGCTGTGCTGGGTGGTGGCGGACGCAAGCGGGCAGTGCCACTGGGACCTTTGGTGGAGCCCCCTATGGGGCCACGAAACGTGCGAGGGGTGTGCCAGAATGGGGTGTGGAACCGCATGCCAGCGCAGCCACTGGGGCCTTCGGTGGAGCTCCCTATGGAGCCACGAAACGTGTGAGGGGTGTGCCGAAATGGGGGGTGGAACCGCATGCGAGCGCAGCCACTGCGGCGTTCGGTGGAGCTCCCTATGGGGCCACGAGACGTGTGAAGGGCGTGCCGAAAAAAGGGGGTGGAACCGCATGCGAGCGCAGCCACTGGGGCCTTCGGTGGAGCTCTCTATGGGGCCACGAACCGTGTGAGGGGTGTGCCGAAATGGGGGGGGGAACCACATGCGAGCGCAGCCACTGGGGCGTTCGGTGGAGCTCCCCATGGAGCCACCCACGAAGCGTGTGAGGGGTGTGCCGAAATGGGGGGTGGAACCGCATGCGGGCGCAGCCACTGGGGCCTTCGGTGGAGCTCCCTATGGGGCCACGAAACGTGTGAGGGGTGTGCCAGAATGGGGGGTGGAACCGCATGCGGGCGCAGCCACTGGGGCCTTCGGTGGAGCTCCCTATGGGGCCACGAAACGTGTGAGGGGTGTGCCAGAATGGGGGGTGGAACCGCATGCGGGCGCAGCCACTGGGGCCTTCGGTGGAGCTCCCTATGGGGCCACGAAACGTGTGAGGGGTGTGCCAGAATGGGGGGTGGAACCGCATGCGGGCGCAGCCACTGGGGCCTTCGGTGGAGCTCCCTATGGGGCCACGAAACGTGTGAGGGGTGTGCCAGAATGGGGGGTGGAACCGCATGCGGGCGCAGCCACTGGGGCCTTCGGTGGAGCTCCCTATGGGGCCACGAAACGTGTGAGGGGTGTGCCAGAATGGGGGGTGGAACTGCATGCGGGCGCAGCCACTGGGGCCTTCGGTGGAGCTCCCTATGGGGCCACGAAACGTGTGAGGGGTGTGCCAGAATGGGTGTGGGAGGGGGAGGAGGGGGGAGGAAGGGGAGGAGGAGGAAGGAGGAGGAGGAAGGAACGCGGGGCGACGTCTCTTCAAAACGAGGACCCAACACCACAGGATGGTTGGGAACAAATAACTCTCAGATCTGGCGTTGCAGGAAAATGCAGCATCGCAAAAAACCACCGACGGAGCTCGGGACGCCCTCTCCCTGCTGCAAATGTCGGGCCGGATCGAGTCGTGAAGCTCCTCCACGGGGTCCGAAGCTGGGCGAAAGAGCGCCTTCGGAAAAAAATCGCAACGCCAGGATCTCGTGATGGGCAAGTTTTCCACCAGCACTACCACATGTAGGACGGGGGAGAAGGGAGGATGAGGTGGTCCTCCTCCTCCTCCTCCTCCTCCTATCATCATCATCATCTCATCATCATCATCATCATCATCATCATCATCATCATCATCATCATCATCATCATCATCATCATCATCATCATCATCATCATCATCATCATCATCATATCATCATCATCATCATCATCATCATCATCATCATCATCATCATCATCATCATCATCATCATCATCATCATCATCATCATCATCATCATCATCATCATCATCATCATCATCATCATCATCATCATCATCATCATCATTCATCATCATCATCATCATCATCATCATCATCATCATCATCATCATCATCATCATCATCATCATCATCATCATCATCATCATCATCATCATCATCATCATCATCATCATCATCATCATCATCATCATCATCATCATCATCATCATCATCATCATCATCATCATCATCATCATCATCATCATCATCATCATCATCTCATCATCATCATCATCATCATCATCATCATCATCATCATCATCATCATCATCATCATCATCATCATCATCATCATCATCATCATCATCATCATCATCATCATCATCATCATCATCATCATCATCATCATCATCATCATCATCATCATCATCATCATCATCATCATCATCATCATCATCATCATCATCATCATCATCATCATCATCATCCCCATCCTCCCTTTCCCACCTATGGTAGTGGTGGTGGAGAATGGGCCCATCCTCTCAGGGAGGGGGGGGATATTGAGGATCGCGCGAGAGAACCCCGGGCTGCACTGCCGGCGACGACCAGGCGGGCGCGCGCGGGCCTTGAACGACGCCGCCAGGGCCAGCAGCTCCTCAGCCTCGCGGCGCCCGTGGGGGCAGCGGGGCTGTCTCCGACCCCTGGGGACGCAGGCGGACGCACCAGTTTGACGGCGAGCCCAAGGGTCAGCTAGGTCGGGCAGGTCCCCCTACAGGCGGATTCTGGCGGAGAAAGGAAGCATCGTCAAAAAAATGCTCCGAAGTGGTCACAAATCGTCCCCAGACGATTTTTGTTACTTCATTTTTTTTTGAATACTCCCCCTGCAGAAGGACAGGCCCGACGTGTAACCCCAGGGGGGAGGCCGGAGGCCTCCCGCGGCAGGCTCGTGCCGCGCCGACCTCGGCGCCGGCTCGCGCGGCACGCCGCGGGGGGGACCCGTCCGCCCCGGAGCGACCCGGCCGCGCTGCCGCAGCGGCGCCCGGGGGACACGCCGAGGGGCACGCGAGCACTCTGCGCGCGCGCCCCCTCGGAGGCGAGCGCCCGCGCCGAGCGCACGTCGCTGCTCTCCGCGGCGGCCGCGCGGGCGAAAACCCCGCCGCGCGCGGGAGCACGAGCAGCCCGGGACGCCCGCCTCCGCTGGACGGCGCGCACGAGGAGGGGGCAGGGGGAGGGGGGAAGGCTTCTCCGAAGGAGGCTGCTTCCTGGAAGGTGCCGGCCCTGGCCCGAGTTTATCGAGAAGCGTCGGGGGGGCGTCACCCCCGCCGACAGCCCCTCATCGACCCTCGCCGCGGGCAGCCGCCGCGCGCCGCAGGCGCCACGACCCCCGTCGCGGCGCGACGACGACGCGAGGCTGGCCCCCGTCGGGGGGGGGGGGTATCCCCCCGCGCTCGTCAAGGATCCCGGAGCACCCAGGCGGCAAGCAAGCGCCCGCCACCGAGCCAGCACTGCAAGACTTCCGGGCCCGCGCGTCGCCTCGGGTTTTTTTTTGCCCCCCCCACCCCCCCAAACGCAAAGCATGTCTCGCTGTCTGTATGCCTCCAATCCCAGGGCGTGCACCTCAAATCGCCTCTCACGGGAAGCGTCGCCTCGGGGGGGGGGGAGGAGGAGGAGGGAGGAAGAGGAGGAGGAGGAGGAGGAGGAGGAGGAGGAGGAGGAGGAGGAGGAGGAGGAGGAGGGAGGAGGAGGAGGAGGAGGAGGAGGAGGAGGAGGAGGAGGAGGGAGGAGGAGGGAGGAGGAGGAGGAGGAGAGGCGGAGGACGCGGCGCCGCGGGGGCCAGCGGGGACGTCCCCGACCCCATGGGGCGCCGGGGGGGCACGCCCGCATCGAGCCGCATCGCCGTGGCATCGGCGATGAGGGCGCGGGCCTCCGACCCACCGACTCCTCCTCCTCCTCCTCCTCCTCCTCCTCCTCCTCCTCCTCCTCCTCCTCCTCCTTCTCCTCCTCCTCCTCCTCCTGACTCCTCCTCCTCCTCCTCCTCCTCCCCCTCCTCCCCCCACCACCAGAAAGGCTGGCTGTGCCTCTTTGCTGGTTTTCACACTAATGGTTTCAGGTCGTTGGTGGTGACGGGGGCGGCGGCGGCGGCGACAGCCACCCGCACTGCCGGGAGAGGTGCGGTGGCAGCGACGACTCGGTATCCAGGAGCTGCCCGAGACGGCGACGGGGGGGGGGGGGGACGACCCTTTAAACCCATGTTTCAAAGGTGGCCCCGGGGAGACGCGAGTTTGCTTAAAAATGAAAACGTTTGTTAGTGTGTGTTCGCGCAGAACTGCAATCAGTGCGTACCTCCCATACCGCGGGTCCTCACGAATCGAGCCCTGGTGCTCCACCGTAAACTCGGAATCGCACGTGTGCGCAGATGGGTACGACAAGCCCAAATAACAGCATAAGCAAGAGGAGGAGGAGGAGGCGGAGAAGGAGGAGGAGGAGGAGGAGGTAATGGAGGGTGAAAAAGGGAGTGGGTAGGAGTGCGAGGAGGAGGGAACGGGGAGGGGGTCAAGAATAGAGCACATTTGGGGCAACGTCGACGTCAATTGTGAAAGTTTCGAGTGCAGTGGCTGGGATGACCCCCTTCATCCAAAAACAGCCTACGAAGGGGATGCAACAAATCCTTGACGACTAGAAGAAGCAATATCGACTCCAAGTTTGATCATTTTCGAGTTCCCCTCGGGTCCATCACAAAAGCTGGGTCGGTGCCGCCCCCCCGAGTGCTGTCATAGACAGCGTCAACGCGCGCCGAGAAGCTGCCACAGGTCCCCCCTAGAAGCTGTCACTGAGAACTTCGCAGCGCCGCCGAGAAGCTGAGGTTTAGCGGCGCGCGGGGTTGCCATGGCAGCTTCTCAAAGGGGGCTGTGACAACTTCTCGAGGGAGCTGTGATAATACCTTGCGGTACGCGGGAGCTGCCTGTGACAGCTTCTCGGGGGGGCTATCCTCTACACGCAACTTCCATAGTGGACCCAGGGGAAATCGGCGATGCTCATGGAACAGCGAGGAGGTGCACGCATGGGCGTTCAGAAAAGATGCGAGAAACAAACAACTCTCCCAGGACCACGGGTTCGCACGAATCGAGCCTCAACAATCCTCCGAATCCCAGTGCACACTGTGGATGCCAAGCGAACTCTTGCCAAAAAGGGGTTCCATATTGCGGGTCACTGGAGAATCTGCGATTCTTGGGCATAGATTCCGCCGATCTCCTAACTACGAAGGACAAGGCAAAGCAAGACCCTCTATCCTAGACCCTGCAAAACGGAAAACCTCCATGGCCCAGCACCGATTCTGCTTGGGAGAATCACATCTGATCGTTCTGTTAGTGCGCATCCCTCAATCCTCCTTTCTTATCTTCCTCCTCAAAATCATTTTCATCCTCCTGCTGCTCCTAAATCTGCCCACGCTGGCGGCGCTACAGCTGTTGAGTTCCGTTGGCATCCTACTCCTCTTCCACATCCTCCCCTCACCGTCTTGAGGGACTACTGTCATCATATCATCTTGTCATGCTCCTCTTCCTGCTGCTCCTGCCCCTCCTCCTCCTCCTCCGTGTATTCCTGCTCTGGATCCGTTTCCATTTCCTGATCCTGACTCGGTCTCCTCGTTTTTCCTCTGTTGCTCCTCCATGTCCTTCCTTTATTGTGTGTTTGACATCTGCCCACCTATCGCTCTCACGTTCCAATCCTGTCTATTCCCTCCATCCTCCCCTTTCTATCTCTCTCCTTCCTTCACTCCCCGTTCCTCGCCTCCCACATGTTTCATTCATCCTCCACTGCCCTCCCGTCCCCCCTCTGACTTCCTTCACTCCTACCATCCCTGCTTCTCCTCCCTGCCTCCCTATCTTCCTTCCCTTCTGTATCTCCAGCCAGAACTGGCCAGAATAGCCAGACCGGAGCAGAGGCCCAAAAGTGAACACCATGGCGAGGAGGAGGAGATGGGCAACGGCAAGCTGGAGGTCCGCCCTAGCTTTTTGTCTTTATATTTATGTCGTTTGTGAAAAAACGAAAATGCCGAAAGCTCTTCCCGTATTCACTCTCCCTGAAGCACATACACCGCCTGGGCGCCCGAAACTTCCTATTCGGACGGCCCGAGAAGTCACCAGGAGGGCCCCAAGGTAGTCGAAGCAGCCTGCAAGGTGAGTCAAGACACCCCAGGGTGCCGGAAACCTGCAATGCAACACACACACACACAGTTGCTCGAAACCATTGCCCTGGCCAACCCTTCTGAACCCTTTTGACAGCGCTCCTGTCACACGCGGGAGCCTAAGACAAAGATTCAGCAATCGAGTTAAAAACTGTGTTGAGTTGAAGCTTGAAAACTGAAACAAAGAACGACATGCCAATTTCGTCGTTTCTGTCGGTCTGGCTGCCGAATCCTCCTCTCAATCCTCCCGGAAAGTCGACGAACCGATACCGTCATACATCAGGAACCGAAGCGTAAGCAGAAGCAGTCAAGCAAGCGTCGCAACAAGCCAGAACAATTTCCAGCGCAGAAAGCACATGCACTACCCAAGAGTGGGCCAATCGGTGCCAGGCCATAAGACGGCCACAACGTGACCCGAAAATGCCCTAGGATGGTGCCAAGCTTGCCCAAGATGGTCCGAGACAGCGCAATGAATCGCAAACGCGGCCCTTGATGGCCGAGCATGCCCCCTCGGAGTTCCGAAAGACGGCCAGAATCATCGAAACAGCATGCGTTGTTCGCTGTGTTTCGCGTTCATGCCCCTGCGGGATCCAATGCGCTTCCTGGGCATCGAGGCGTGCCCGAGAGGGTCCAAACTCGGCCCTGAAAAGACCCCGAAGCTCAACGGGAGGGCCCCCGACAGGGTTCCATGAGAGACTCAAATGGGCCAATAGTGGAATCGATACCGGGGGCCAATCGGCGCCAGGCCATAAGACGGCCCCAACGGGGCTCCAAGACGCCCCAAGATATTGCCACGCTGCCCCAAGGTGGTCCGAGACAGCCCAATGGACTTCAAATATGGTCTTTGATGGCCGAGATGGCCCAAAGATGGCCCCAAGATGGCCTCCGCTTGCTCCCAAAAAGCCCCCTACAGGCCCCCAAGAGGCGCTACGAAGCACCTGAGAGGCGCCCAAGGAGCCCGCAGAAGGTCCCCAGACGCCCCTTCAGGAGTCCCCTAAGATGCCCCCGACAGCCTGTGAACGGGTGGATGTCTCCAAGAAGTGGTCAGATGCCCCCCGCGAAGTCCTCAGAGCCCCCCGGGAAGGAGTCAGTGCGCTCCGAGACAATGTCAGAGCCCCCCGCGCAAATGTCAGAGGCCTCCCCCCCAGCAGCTGCCAAATGCCCCCTGTGAAGCTGCCATTGGAACCGTCAGCGGCGCCCCGAGTGAGTGTCAGAGGTCCCCGAAAAGAGGCCCCCGAAAAGCTGTCAGCGGCCCCGCGAGGAGCTGTCAGAGGCCCCCCGCGAAGCTGTCAGCGGCCACTCTGAGAACCTGTCAGCGGCCGCCCCGAGAAGCTGTCAGCGGCACCACGGGCAACTGTCAGCGGCACCTCGAGTAACTGTCAAGGGCGCCCCGAGTCACTGTCACAGGCGCCCCGAGTCACTGTCACAGGGCGTTCCGAGTCACTGTCCCAGGCGCCCCGAGTCACTGTCACAGG